CCCCAAAACCCCAAAACCCCAAAACCCCATGTTCATTAACCTAATGCAAAGCAAAAATAAATTTGATTTAAATCAAGATTAAAAAATCGGAGCTTTGATATTAAAATAAGAGAGAGTCTATAACTTCTTTCATTTTTTATTAATGAGTTTACTTCTTATTTAAGGATGCATATCCTCTTCTTTTAAATCATAGTCAGATTCAGACTCATCTGAATTGTAAAGATGTTTTGGAAATCTCTTTTTTAGTTCATCTTTCATCTCGTTTTCTTTTCTATTTATCTCCATTTACTTGATTTGCATTTAATCCTGTTGTAGAAATTAATGATGTAGTTAGTCACTATGAGATTTAGTTACGTTGTGCAGTATAGAAGGGACTAAATAAAAAAAATTAAAGAATTAAAGAAAAAAATTACTAGTTTAGTCCATTGATGATCTTTCAAAATGTGGTTCTGGGACAGATCCATACTCAGACCAAGAGCCATCATAAAGTGTATATCTATCATTTCCCATGAGTTCAAGAGCCAAGTTTGCAATACAAGCAGAGACTCCAGAACCACAATATGAAATTGTGGTCAGAGAGGTATCAACATCCTTGCTGAGGAAATATTTTGCGATTTCTTTGTCAGATTTAAATGTTTAAGTTTCCTAATCAACAAAATCGTGATAGTAAGCATTCTTTGCTCCATAAAAATGGCCTCGTCTTACATTTGGACCTTCATCTTCTTCTCCAAAATATCTCCCTGGGCTTCTTGCATCTATAACCTGAGTGCTAATCATATTATTCATGAGTAAATAAGCGATTCTGTGCATCTCCTCAATCTTATTTACAAGTCTCTCTTCATCCACTACTTCATATGGCCTTTTTATTTCTTCATTTTAATCATTGGTATCAACTGTGGAAATTTCAGGACCAGATTCAGTTAATCGATTTTCTTTAAGCCATTTAACAAACCCCCCATTCAGAACTCTCACTCTTTCAGCACCAAAGTATTTAAAAGTAAATGCTACTCTAGGAGACGAAAATATTCCAAGGTTGTCATAGCATACAATTTCATCATCTCTGTGAACACCCATTACATCCATGTGTTGCTTAAACTATTCCAAAGTAGGTATCATCCTTGGCATATTAAATGATTTATTTGTAATTTCATCTATATCGAAAAATCTGGCCCCGGGAATTCTCTTGTCAATATGCTCCTATCTAGCATTTCTCTTCATTTTAGGTAGGAAAAATGAGCCATTTATTATTTTCAAGTCACTGGGCTTCTTTTTAATTAATTCATCGAGCTCATCTGTCTCAATCAAAAGCTTTTTTCTTATGTCTGAGGAATACATCCTCAATTAATGGGGTAATCTAATAGCCTAACTAGAGAACTAAACTCCAGATTTAAGACCTTTAAGTATAATCATATTTAATTATAAATGTATTTTTATCCTCAAGTTATAATCTTATGTCTTAATTTTAGTAATCTATCCAAATGGGGTTTTGGGGTTTTGGGG